GAACACTGATATGGAAAGCAAAAAATCTCGATTAAACCTGCTCGATACACACCATAAAAAAAACTTGAGAGGAATATAACAATCCTGAGCTTACATACCAAGTCCAACAAATTTAAGTACAAGCCAATCAATTCAACACATGCTTAAATGCAAACACAAAGGGAATTTTCCTTCACCTATAGCAAGTTTCAGCCAAGCTAACCATTAAGCAAGAGAAACAGACAGTTGGACTTCAGACTAATGCTATGACATCTCATTCGTGATCAATAGATTAATCAAGATATCTCTATAGCTAAATATTACAACCATAAATGAGATTGAAGGGAGGAGAAATGAAGTTCAATAAACAACACAAGTTTTATCATAGTCTCAAATCCAAATTCCATATTACACTCAAATGATGTCCATAGTTCCAAAAAATACCTGTAAAAGCCAAAAGAAAACAAAGAGAGTGAGGGAGTATGCAACAGCAACAGACCAATCAGCAAAGTAACAGTAATAAACAGCAACTCCAAGCGAAATTCAGCTTCTTCAAACCAGTAGAAAAACCAGATAAAGACCACTCTATGGAGACTCAAATACCCGGATCCACTATGAAGTTTTGGCAGAGTTGAACCAATTTTTGACTAAAAAAATGTAAGAAATTCAGTGTTCTTTCAAAGCTTTTTAGACTTAGCCGTTTCTCTTCAATTTTTAGTATATTTTTAGTCTTTAAAACCTTTTTCCAATTTGAATGGAACCCCAAGTAACTATGCCTTTATAGGCAAGTTACTAGGCCAGCCTTAAGGGTTCAGGTTTTTCATTTTAGTCCTTTTCAAATTTTCTTTTTGCTGCTTAGTCCTTCAATTACTGACTTGTTGGTCAAGTTAGTCTATTTTTGCAGCTTCTAGGCAGCTTCTTAGTTGGTTATAGCAAGATTTCCTTAAGTGACTTACCAAATTTACCCCTATTACCCCTGTATTTTACCTTGAAGCCCAGCCAGACTTGAACATGGGCTATGAATCCCCGAACAGGCTCAATGATTAAATAGACATGGGCTCAGACTCAAACCAAATAAAATTCCTTTAACATGAGGTCTTAGACTGACCTCAGAGCCCAAAGATGAAACCCAAACAAATTCAGAAAACTTAAAAACCAAACAAATCGACTAATTAATGATCACAAACAGGCGGGGAACTAATTAAGCTCAGTGACCAAACCAAAAGTTCTAACACGACAGTTAATAAATCAGAAAACAAATTAAACGAGAGGAAAGGAACAGAGGTAAAACATAGACGATTTTGAAAACAAAGATGAACGGGACTTACCAGCTAGACTTGAAATCAAAAACTGAGGCACTGATTCGACCCAACACAGTGGCAAACGTTTGTTCTTGGTGAGGAACAAACGAGTGTCACTATTTTGTGTCAAAACGGACTTGAAACAACCGTAAAATTCCTGAAAATGCTTGCATGCATGATTCTGACCTTAGGCTCTCAGGGCTCGACTCTTCGATTTGATATTCGAGGAGTTCCAGAGATGTTTGAATAAATATAAGTGAGGATTTGGGATGAGGGAGAGAGGACGGTCCTAGGGTGTTAATTTGGGGTTGAACAGAGGTGGCGCCGCCACCGGAGAGAACAAGGGCGGCGCTAGGGTTTCGATCTTTGATCTGAAATTAGAGCAGTTCTGGAAGGATTTGAGAGGAGTTGTTTTGGGATTTGGGATGTGGAGGCGGATGAGAGTGTGGGGTGTTAATCTCAGGGTGATTGGTGGTGGCGCCGCCAACGGAAGTAATAGGGATTTTGGGGCGGCGGATTAGGGTTAGGCGATTCTCTTGATGATGAAGGAGATGAAGTGAGAGATGGAATGAGGGGGTAGGGGGTCGGTCGGACAGTTATATGTAATTTGGGGATCAGTTCCGGACCGTTTGATCAAATGAGATCAACGATCCAGATCACGAGTGGTTTAAACGGGGTCTTTTGGTTTATTGGTGGGGTGGACCAGGTTGGACCCGGGTTTTGGGACGGGTTTGGGCCAATTTTAACGGGTAATGGGTCTTTAACACTTGGGCCTGGGGAAAATTCAATTGTAACAGCCCAAAATCGGATTTTTTTTATTTCTTTTCTTTTTCTTTTTCAATTTCAAATCCTTTTCTTTTCAAATTAAAATAAAACCTAAATTAATTTTTTAAACTAAATTAACCTACCCAATTAGATTAATCACTCATCATAGTATTTACAATAATTAATTAAATCCTAAATTTAAAGAAAAACTATAAAATTCAAAATTAAAGAGTTAAAATGCAAAATGAACTATTTTTTGTGGTTTTCATATTTTATAAAACAAACTAATTTACTAATTAATCTAAAAAATATAAAATTAAATACTAAATGCAGTGCGTGATATTTTTATCTATTTTTCATGATTTAAATAAAATTAATTATGCACACAAAATGTAAACAAACACGAAAATTGAGCAATTAATTCCTGAAAACCTAATAATTAAAAGAAAAATCCTAATTTTGGAGATTCTGTAGGAGTAATTCATGCGAGACAAAAATCACGTGCTCACACCTAGTACATGAACCTTTACGATAAATTTGCCAAAAGGAGGGCACTTCCTCCTTTAATGGGCCTTATGTAGTGTGGGTTTTAATGAGGTAGAAATGGTGTGGGGTAGCCACTTTTTAATGTGGCATTTAGTTTTTATCTAGCATTTTTAATGCTGAGCAAAAATAGCCACTACTCTATTAAAATTAATACGAAAAGACGGTCTTACCCTTTCTTCATGAGTGTTGTGTAAATATTAAGGACATAGTGTCCTTAACTTCATGAGTGCTGTGTAAATATTAAACATATTTTGTGATTTAATATTGAATAAAAAAATTAATGTGGTTTGTGATTTTTCATATTTTAATTAAATTAAATTGATAATTTTAATATTGGTCTTTCATGGTAAATATTTGAAACATTTTACCTATTTCGTTTAACCAAATCCTGCTCCTAGCATGTTAGGGAAAGGAAACGTGGGGGGAAAAGCTAGAAAATTAAGAAACAAGAATTTTAGGAAACAAAAATTCCCAAATCCTATTCCCTATCAGATTCGGTAATACTTCCTTTGCCCTAAAGTACCATATATAGTATCATTACACTTCCAACTTTCTAAAAGTCCTTTGTATTCTTTTTCTCAAAACCTAACAAAACTTTTGAGTGCGACTCATACATTACCAAATGATGTTTTTCACTTGCAAAGAATGAACCCACAACAACTTCATATTCCACATGATCAAACAAGTGGAATATCTAATAATACCAACATGTTTGAATATTGGGAAATAACAACTTACTCTGATCCGGCTATGTATGCAGATGATGTCGAGGAACGGGCTGCTTGTTTCATCTGTTGCTATGAATTTCAGAATGGAGATATATTAGTCACACTTCCATGTAACGATGTGTTTCATTTAAATTGCTTCAATGAGCGGCTGATGAGGAGGAACGATTGTCCGTTTTGTAGTGCTGAAGTTTTGCCCACACACGTAGTAGTACTAGAAGAGGAAGAGGAGGAAGAAGAAGAGGAGTTCGAGGATCAAGAAATAGTAGAAGAACAAGAAGAGAAGTTCGAGGTTGAAACAAGAACTTATCGTGCTCCTGCGATGGACATAGATGATGATGAGGAACAAGAAACATGTGCGATATGTTTATGTGAGTATGAAGATGAAGATACCATTGGCACACTTCAATGTGGCCATGAGTTTCATGTTGGCTGCGTCAACTAGTGGCTGCAGCAAAAGAATGCATGTCCGTTCTGTAGAGCTCTAGTGTTGCCCACACATGACTGGTTACATTTTTAATCTTGGCTGTAACATTCTTTTTGTAATAGTTATGGTAGTGACCTATCAACTTTTTTGTCTTTCCCGTATTCTTTTTGGCCATGTAATCTGTTTATACATCTACTTATAACATAAATGGAATGCTGATTACAAGAAAAGGCTCAATTTGTGGTGGTTTTTGACCCCCACATATGAAATTGTGACGGTTTTGAAAAATGACACAATTACATTCACCACAAGCATATTTGCGCCAGTTTTTATAAATCGTCATGACGGCAGCCACAAAATGACTTTAATTTGTGATGGTTTTTAAAGTCAATTTGCAACGGTTTAGAACATCCATAATATGATCTCAATATTTCAAAATATTAAATTTGTATGGGTTTTAAACCGCCACAATATGATATCGATATTTATATAATTTAATTTGTGGAGGCTTATGACCGCAACTAATTGCTATTTTTTATTGGAAAAAAATAGAATTTGAATTACAAATAATCATACATAGAAATAACTTTAGTAAATATATCACACATTCAATCAAAATCAAATTGAATTAAACAAATTCATAGTAACAATCATCACAAATTCAAATTTATGTCAAACTAAAGTAACACAAAATCGTTTATGGTTACTTAGAACTTACAACTTTAATTCCATAAAAATATAATATTGTTCTACATCAAATAAACATAAAACAGTACTAAGGAAGATTAGCATAGTTGAATCCTGATTGAAAGCTAAATCCGAGATCTGCAAAACAGAGAATAGAACGTCAAAATTCCAAAAACTAATAGTATCCACATAAAATGAACTATGGAAGAAGAAATTTCCTAATAAAATAGGAAGAATAAGGGCAAAAGAAAAAAAAATGCTCTTGTACATAAGCTGTAATCGACATATGAAATAAACAATCCTTAATCATGCAATATTGTTACCTTTAGATAAACAACAACAACAACACCAACAACAACCCAGTGTAATCCCACAAGTGGGGTCTGGGGAGGGTAATATGTACGCAGACCTTACCTCTACCCCGAGGGGCAGAGAGGCTGTTTCCAGGAGACCCTCGGCTCAAGAAGACAACAAGAGACACTATATTAGTACTATCAATAGACTCATAATAAAATAACATAAAGTACCATAAAATACATAACATAACATAAATACCATAAAATAACAAAATAACAGCAATATAAGAGATATAGGAAATACGAGAAAGATGTAAGGTATTATAATAAACAGCAGATAAAGCCCATCACCAGTAGTTGATCAATAGCATTCTAAGACTAATTCCTAACTGGCTAGTCTCACTCTGGCTAGTCCCCTAACCTACAACCTTAATGCTCGATCTCCATAATTCCCTGTTTAGGGCCATGTCCTCAGTAACCCTAAGTCGCGCCATATCCTGTCTGATCACCTCTCCCCAATACTTCTTAGGTCTCCCTCTACCTCTCCTCGTACCCACCACAGCCAGTCGCTCAAACCTCCTCACCGGTGCATTAGTGTTCCTCCTCTGAATGTGCCCAAACCATTTGAGTCTTGCTTCCCGCATCTTGTCCTCCATGGGGGCCACACCCACCTTCTATCGAATATCTTCATTTCTAATCTTATCCTTCCTTGTATGCCCGCACATCCACCTCAACATCCTCATCTCTGCAACTTTCATCCTCTAGATGTGTGAGATCTTCACCGGCCAACACATGGTCCCATATAACATAGCAGGCCTAACCACTACCCTATAAAATTTACCTTTCAGTAACGGTGGCACTTTCTTGTCACACAAGACTCCCGTCGCTA